GCTAGGTACTAACCACTCGTCAGGCGCTGAAAGGAGTATGTGCAATAAGTTTGATTTGCCTATATGTTAATATATACAATTAGGTATATAAATATCTAGGTCTAATTTTCGTATGCATGACTTTGATTGGTGTTAAGTCGAAATATGGTTCGTGTAATGGAAATTGCACGGGATGAATAAAGTTTAACAAAAAAATTTTAAGGTTATGTCTATGCTATTACAATAATTCTAGCACCATAGTTCAAGCTGAAGATTTTCCAGGAGGACTTATAGAAAGATGATGAGGTGGATTGGCATCATAAATACAAACAAGCGCTCGAGGATGTCTATACTTATTATGCAGAACAGTACCCAGAAAAAGCACGAGCTTATTATGCACTAAACCCATTATCACAACTGGACTGGATCATTGTAAGTACACAGAAGATTAATGCTCAAAAACTAGACCGCTCAACACATGCAGTCAGTGAGATTGAAGATTATCTACAAGAAGGTACATCATTCACCATCTAACTTAAGGTATATTCCAACTGACTAGATTCAGGTCTGATGCCCTCCAGTACGGATGTCCTTAGATACTGGAGACAGCATGAACAACACTTTCTAATTCTAGCATTATTAGCCTGTGATTTTCTTGCTGTTGCTGTTAGTAGTGTGGGGGTTGAGCGTCTCTTTAATACATCTCATGATGTCTGCTAGTACCGCTGAAGCCATCTTTTAACTGAGTCTATCCAAGCAATTATGATTCAAATGTGTGCTAAGAATTTTCTTCTTCGTCAGGAACTCAAAGGTATCAAGGATGATGATAAACAGGATGAGATTCTGACGCTAGATAATAAGGAAAATGACCTTACAGATGCGCCTGACTACATCAGTGATGAAGAGGTTGCCGATGATGTTCTGGATAATGACCATGGTGACAACAGTGGCAATAAGGATGATGCCTGTAGTGAGGAAAATGAGCTTCCTGCTATTTCTTGTACTCTATGAAGAACACCAAGTTAGCCTCAATGGTCCCAGCGGCCATGTCGTCGGCGGCATGAATAAGGGAGATATCGAGCAATGCTTAATAGTAGATAGTCTCTGCAATATAAGAACTTCGTTATGTATGGCTTGAACAATGAAAGTACAAATGAACATATGAATATATTCAAAAAAAACTCTTAGTAGGTTCAACGCACCATTAATATTAGATTATCTTCTATCTTTTGTATCACTTGTAATACAAATACGTCAGGCCTTTAACACGTAATGATTACAGCCCGGCCCTAACCAGCCCAGCCCTATTATCAGCCCTAAAGCCCGGCGGGCTTGAGAAATAGAAGCCCGGTTAGCCCGTGGGCTTAAGGGCCTCAGGCCCTAGCCTGAAACTTGGCGGGTTGGGCTCGGGTTAGGGTAGGGCACGAGGGCCGGGCTTGACAAGTCTACTTACATCCATCCTCCTTTGACTATTGTTTGACATATTTTTCCATTCTCCGAAGAGCTCCATCTGGTTGCTGATCTCCTCACACTTAGTAGCAAAAGCCACATAGGTAGACTGGCAAATGGGTAGGGTAGGGTAGGGTAATGGCATTCTCTTACCCACCCACATCGGGTATGGGTAGGGTATGCCGAGAGCTTTACCCACCACAGGGTATGCTCAGGTAAGGTCGGGTTACCCGAGCTTTACCCATGCTTGGCGCCAAGACTTGACGACTAGCTGTATCTGGTTTAGTGTGGGTAATAGTCGGGTAGGGTAACCCAACATACCCTACCCGACATCAACTTGATTTCGGTCTCTTAGTATTCCCGCCCCAAAACAGCACTTTTTGGTTCATGAGTTAGGAGAAACATGTATTTTCCAACTGAATCTTGCATAAAAACTTACTTCTTTCAATGGGAAACGATGTGATGTGCAAATGTTTTTCTTTATGCTGTTACAGGATAATACTCGACTGAGAATATATATGCTCGAAGCCAGGGAGATATTGTCGTTTCTCGAGCAACTCAACCAACTCGAGCAACTCGACGTCCTCGACGCCGTGAGCATTGTCCAGGACAATATAAACAATAAGTAATCAGTTGAATCTTAATTCATTATGTATCATCCATTTAAAAGTTAATGAAAACATTCAAGGAAAGGTCTCCGCCTACAATGATTTCCTGTAATCATCGATGATACAGCTGTGAAAGACTTTGTATTAATTACAGATGGGTAGTATGGGTTTACCCTACCCAGCGTACCCGACCCTACCCTACCCTACGGGTTACCCACGCCTGCTCTTTACCCACCCGACCCCTACCCTACCCACAGCCGGGTAAGACATTTTCATACCCGACCCTACCCACGTCGGGTATGGGTAGGGTATGGGTAGGGTGTACCTGGTAGGGTATGCCAGTCTACCTGTGGGTAGTTAACTGCCACTATACAGGATCTATGTCTTCAGCATATTTGCACAATCTGGGATGGAACTTGTCCTCTTTTGAATGCTATACTGCCGTGTAGTCTCAGCATTTCATGAGGTAAACCATGGACAACGGATAATATTTCCTGTGACATTGTGATGGTTTCACTACATGATCTGAGTACATCGTGTCTGGCATTCTTGTTTGCGTTCCAACTACCTGGCAGTTGCGTCCATCTACGTTAACACTCCTCAAACGGCCACTGGCAGAGAGTGATAAGCATCGGCCATGAATTTTCACCACGCGTTCAGACCGTCAATCAAGACCTGACGCTCACACACATAGCCAATGCGGACATAGCCCTTGAAGTTTGTATCTTCTCCAAAGCACCTGCTGCCTGGCACGCACATGACGCCACATTCCTCTTGTAAATGCTTGCAAAACTCCACATCATCAACTGCAAGGTCGTCCTTATCGACGAACTTGACGAACGCCGTGGTGCCCGCATGTGGTCGGACCCACTGCGCAGCCCAGGCGAATTCCTTAAGGAAGCCATCAAGGAGATTGAGATTGCCTCTTACGAGCTCAAGGTTACGCTTGAGAATGTTGCCCACAGTTGGCTCTGACAAGGTGCATGCAGCAATCCGGTCATCGATCTGGCTGACCGAAATCAAGGTGTAGTCGCGGGCTGATGCACACTGTTCTATTATTTCCCGGCTTCTGGATGCAATCCAGCCCAGTCGAATCCCGGCCATACTAAAAGCCTTGCTCATTGAGCTAGTGGCAACGGTATTCTCATAATTGAAGGAGAGTATGGAAGGCGGCTCTTCCTGCCCGTCCTGCAGGGAGTGGAAAAGCAGCCGATACACCTCATCACTATGAGGAATGATGCCATGCTGATGCGCAATGTTCACAATCTCCTGCAGGACATCACGGCTTAGGACAGCTCCAGTCGGATTCTGAGGGTTGCTATGAATTTGTCAGGCCCATTTTCATCTCCTTTTGCAGGTGACTTGGTGGCTGCTAGAGTACCCACTTCATGATGATGACCTTGGTATTGGCTCTGATCAGCGATCTCAGGTCGTCCAAGTTGACCCGCCATCCGTTCTGCCCGTTTGCCCTCTAAAGACTGACCTCCGCACCGAAGGACTCGGGAACGGAGTAGAGCTGTTGGTATGTGGGATAGTGGCAGATGACATGGTCACCCCGAGCAACATTGGTGTATAGAGCTAGGAAGTTGGCCTGGATAGCGCCATTCGTGATAAGGATGTTGTCTTTCGACAATGGCCCGGATTAGGCGTCGCGATACAGGTTGGCGATGTTCGAGCGCAACGCATCAGTGCCCCATATTGCCCCATAGGTTTGCTTCTGGGTGAAGTTAATAAGGTTGGCACTATCCTTGTTCCCCGCGAAGGCCAGAAGATCGTCGAGTGAGATGGAGGCACAGCAGGTCTCAGCGAGATTATGAGTCGCCCATGTCTCATGGTCGTCCATCCACTGCGGAAGTCAGTCATCAACTCTGCGGCCTGGTAGCGGTCTACTTGCCTTTTCTACGGCGAACTCTTTGATGTGCACCATTCTGATGCTGTCTTGCGCGGGATAATGAGTCGCAATCGAGTTTGGACGTAGAAGAAGGAGGAAGAGAAGAAGGAAGAAGAATTTATATTTCTAAGCATGGACATACGGAGTACATGTCGCTTGGTCCCATGAGGTCCATTGCTTGGCGTGCTGTGATTGGTTGAATCGCCTTGATTACCCAAAATGGCAATTTCGGCTCTCGCTGCGGCAGCCAATCTCAACCCCGTCACCAGCATATAAAATGCCCATCAGAGCCCTTGTTGATCTCCCGTACTCAGTCTCAACAAGCTCCTGTTTCCTCATTGTGCTTTCAATGTCTTCAACTCCTTGTATTAATTTGCTGAAAGGATCGCCTGCCACGGCTCGTCTTCCCACCCAGCGCCTAAGTGATGCTGCAGTATCGGCATTGTCGAAGTTGGAAGTCACAGTAACCGGCTTGGACTATGGGCCGGATGAAGGTCACTTTCCACTCAGGACTCATCTTGCCGAGTGGCTTACGGGATACTACAAACCCTCTCAGCTGATTAAAGCGGATCGGATCTGCGTAACCGGAGGAGCGAGCCAGAACTTGTCGAATATCCTGCAAGTCTTCACTGATCCATCGCAAACAAGGTACATATGGATGCCGCAGGCGTCCTATCATCTTGGATTCAGAATCTTTGAGGATGCCGGGTTTTACCGCAGGTTAAGGGCTGTTTCCGAGGATGAGGAGGGGATGGACATGGAGTTTCTTGAACGCGCTCTTGCTAAAGACGGGGCGGTTGCAGAGAGGGTGAGCTGAAGAAACCATTTTCAAGAAAATACTAAAGCTAAAAATCACATAGGCAGAAGGATACAAGCATCCCGAAAGCTACAGGAAGATATTTAAACACGTCATTTACTGCGTGCCTAACTTCTCCAATCCCACAGGCATCACCATATCTCTTCGAAGGCGAGAGGCTCTTGTCCGCTTAGCTCGCAAATTCAATGCTCTAGTAATTTGTGATGACGTCTATGACTTTCTGCACTGGCCCGCCACTCATTGTTCAGATAATGGGAATTCATGGGGATCCATCCTACCTCGCGTTGTCGATCTGGATCGGACGCTTGATGGTGGACCACGAGATAGCTTCGGTAACGTCGTCAGTAATGGGACTTTAGCAAAATTGTTGCCCCTAGGTGTTGTGTTGGATGGGCTGAGGGGGAGCCTCAATTAGTGTATGGCCTGTCATAAGTGTAAGACATTCTGCCTACCAACTATGACTGTTGTCTTGGCTAAACTGGTATCATACAGAGGCTCTACAGTGTCAGGGGGCTCTCCATCTTAACTCATGTCGACCTTCATTGATGAAATGCTACAAGAGGGTTCCATCACGAAGCATATAAGAGAGGTGTTAATCCTGACATACTCTCGCCGACACTCCACTTTGACATCAGCGGTCAAGGAGAGACTGTGTCCCCTTAGAGTCGAGATACATACGGAGGTAAGTGATTCATTGCATGCTGGAGGCTTTTGTGTGTAGATTAAATTACCCCAGCCACTCACTGCTCGGAATGTCACTGAGAGAGCACTGCGGGAGGAGAATCTGATGGTCGGAAATGGCGACCTGTTTGTCGTCCCTGGGGATCAATTCTCAACGTATCAGGATCAACGTTTGAGACTTTGCTTTGTGTGGGAGAACGAAAGAGAATTGGCCGAGGGAGTCAGTCGGTTGGAGAAGGTGCTGGTCAGGATGCTCAATGAAGAAAAGAGCTAAAAGAAGGTCTAATCCCGTCTATAGATGGCTGATCTGTAAGTACATTGTGGTCCATTCGATCCCCATTCCATTCCTCAGAAGCCATGCGCATAAATGGTACGGATGCAGTCATCGCTCTTCCACCTCCCATCGCTCTTCTACCTAAGTTTCGGGATATCGCTCTTCAATCTCCGCGTCAATCTCCACTAAGTAAGGATGATCATATTTCGTGCCAGTCGGGCCAGGGGTAGGGACCGACTGATTCCACTGGAGTACGGTCGTGGCTCCAGATGTGGTCGTACGCATCTAAAATTTGGACAGCTTGCTGCGGTGCCCTGAGCCATAAAAAGATTAACGTAATCCACAACCGAGCGGCACACCCAACCGAACGGCACACGATCTTGACCATGGTTGGAGAACCATGAAATATCTTATAACTACGCAATAAAACGAAAGCCTTTTCTCAAACATAAAAGAATTGTATTATCTACTAGGGCAGCTGGTTCTAATGTGACTAATTTGATGGCAGTTACTGCATCGTGGTGGCGCACGCTTTCTAGGAATGGGATCCTCTAAGCCCATTCTCTGTATTGCTTCTTGAGCAAGTTGTTGACCTTCAGACCCTGTCAGAACGCCCCCAGTAGCAATAAAAGATCTGGGGGCTGTACGCTTTCGCTTTTGTACCTCATTTG